GGGGGTCAGATGATCCAGCGTCCTCTTAAAGACCCCCAAGGCAGGGGCGAGCACCACTTCCCTTGGAAGCCCACTCCAAATTCTGGCCACCCTTACCATGAAGAAGATTTTCCTGATATCTAGCCTAAATCTGTTCCCTGTCAGTCTGTGACCATTGTTCCTTGTTACCCCAAGAGGCGCCCGATGAACAGAGCATCTCCGATCCCTTGCTGCGTCCCCCTAATGAATTTGTAGGTGGCCACAAGATCACTTTTCAGCCTTCTCTTGCGGAGGTTGAAGAGGTCCAGGTCCCTCAGTCTCTCCTCATAGGGCTCATCCTGTAAGCCCCTAGCCATATGAGTGGCCTCCTCTCGACCCTCTTGAGTCTATCAACATCCTTCATGAAGTACGGCGCCCAAAACTGGAAGCAGCACTCTAGCTGCAGTCTGACCAATGCCACATAGAGAGGAAGTATCACCTCCTTGGATCTATTTGTCATGCATCTCCTGATGCATGATAAAGTGTGGTTAGCTTTGCTGATGATTTCGTCACACTGATAATTCATGTTCATCTTGGAGTCCCCTATGACTCCAAGATCCCTTTCTGCTTCTGTGCTGCTGATAGGGTCACTTCCCAGCCAGTCGGTGTGCTGGATATTTTTGCACCCTAGGTGCAGCACTCTGCACTTGTCCTTGTTGTACTGTATCCTATTGTGTAGTGCCCACTTTTCTAACCTGTCCAGGTCAAATCCCGGATGAGCCCTTTCTTAGTGACAGATAGGGAGCACAAGGCTGAGCTATTCAATAAGTTTTTTTGCCTCGGTGTTGCACCATTCCCTACCCTCCGGAGTGTGCATTTACCCGCACAATTTAGTATCGTCCGCAAACTTGGACAGAGTACACCTCACTCCCACGTCCAAGGCACTGATGAAGATATTGAAGAGTACAGGTCCAAGGACCGAACCCAGCAGGACCCCCTCTACCCACATCCTTCCAGGTTGATATCGACCCATCTACTATTACTCTCTGGGTGCGACCACTAAGCCAATTTGCCACCCACCGGATCGCGTAAACATCTATGTCACAGCATCTTAATTTATCTATGAGAATAGGATGAGATACCATATCAAAGGCCTTGCTAAAGTCCAAGAAAATGACCTCTACTCCTGCATCTAAGCATTTTGTGACCCTGTCATGATACAAAACCAGACTAGTCAGGCATGATCTACCTGCTACGAATCCATGCCGGTTGCCCTGCTGCATTATTTTTCCCACTGCACTCCCACAAAGACCTCCAAGGATGGAGGAGAGACTCTTTTCAAAGACCTTTCCAAGGATGTTCTGCTATGACACCGGCCAATTCCTTCAGTACTCTTGGCTGAAACTTATTCAGGCCTGCTGACGTGAGCACATGCAGTCCATCCAAGTGACTCTGCACCAAGTCAGCATCAATAGTTGGTGGGCTGGTGTCCCTCTGATGCCCATCTAAAAGCCCATTAGGAGACTTATCTTGAGCCCTGTTCAGCAACACCGAGGCAAAAAGAAACTCATTGACTAGCTCAGCCTTGTTCTCCCTGTCTGCCACTAAGAAAGGGCTCAGCCAGGATTTGAACCCAGACCAAGAAGCATACCCCTAGACCAATGAGCCAGCTGTAAGCAGGCTGCTGCCGAATCTCCAAATCTCCAAATCAGGCAGGCCAGGCCCATCCCCCACCCCTCTCCCAGCCTGGCAATGGCTGCCCCATCTGCCCCAGCTCCAGCACTTGTTAACAAAAAGCCCCAGCTCACTGGGTATTGCCAGGTGGGGGGTGATCCCTCCTACCCCCCACTGTCCCACACTAAGTAGGGGGGTCGGGGGGACTGGCAGGGGTCCCCCTATGGTCCCCTGCCCCAGCCCCTCCTCTCCCCCATCCCTAGTACTTACCAGCTTGGAGTCAGCTGCAGCTCCCTGCTGCAGCCACCGAGGACTGCCCAAATCATCAAAGCTCTCTGAATCTTTTCTGAAGATTTGGAGAGCTATGAATTGATTTGGACCTTTAAATGGGTCCCCTGATTCGATTTGGATTTGAAGATTCGGCCACTGAATCAGGCCGAATCTCCTCTGAATCGAATCACCACCCAAAGCGTCGCACAGCCCTAAAAACTATATCGTTTGATAGAGCTAAGGAGCTGCAGGTACATTTGCCAACTTGCTCCAAGGCTGAACGTGGTGCTCTCAGGGTTAGTTGAGAGGCTTTACAATGAAAGCTGGATCTAATGTGAAAATAAGTTCATTGCAATTAGGATCTCCCTGTGCCAATAGCTCAGTGCTTTATTGAGAGATGGCAGAGAGAGAAAATATCTAGGGTATTCTTTACTGGGAAAGTGGTTTTAAAGGGCTATTTTGAGGGTGTATATATCTATGAATTTGTTCTCTATGTACGGTAATCTTAAGAGTAAAATACTTGCCTATGTGGATCTTAACTAGTAAGAGATACTCTTGGCTTTCTTGGTTACAGAGATGTTATGTTTGTTCTATCATTGCTATTCTTAATCATAAATGAAACGCTTCCATATATCCTGAATAATATGGGCTATGAACTGGAACTGGAAAGTACGTCTCTTGTTCCCCAGGTATGGAAAGCACAACCATTAGCATGGCGCAGGGGGAGGTCAAGGCTGAGTTTGCTTGGTTGTGTTTGCGGCTTGCCCTCTGCAGATGCATTGCATTTGGCGGAAAAAGATGCATTGTGAAATCTCATTCCAGCTGAAGACAATGGCAAAATTCCCGTTGGCTTCAGTGGATCTAGGATTTCACCCAAATTCTTTATAACCCCTGGGTTGCACTGCGTTTACATAATGTACTTTGAAAGACGCTCAGCACAGAAGATACACAGCCATCCCTCTCGTGTTCTGGATCAAGCTTAAAATGCAAAACAGGCCCTTCTCAAATCCATGTTGTGAAAAACAGTGAAACCTCAGAAGCTGAGCGCTGACTTTTCTGTGCAGGTAGTTTATGCGGCGCTACTAGAAAGTTAGCCTTGTAAGCCTGAAGCTAGGCAGAAGGCAGGGCAGGGTGTTACCTTATAGACTAACTCAGGGGTGGGCAAAATGCAGCCCGTGGGCCAGCTGCAGCCCACCAGGCCATTCTATCCAGCCCGCGGGGCCCCTAAAAAATTTAGAAAATTAATATATATCTGCCCCTGGCTGCCTGTCATGCGGCCCTCAATGGCTTGCCAAAACTCAGTAAGCAACCCTCCGCCCAAAATAATTGCCCAACCCTGGTCACTAACTCAATCAGAGAGACATATGTTTTTGTAGGCTACAGCCTATTTCATCAGATGATGAAGTGTGAATCATGAATGGACTTGCAGAGTGCAGGGTTACCAAATAGAAAGGCATATGGTCATTTAAATACAAAGAATATTCCTTCCCCCATCTTTTGTATTTAAATGACCTTAATCCTTTCAATTTAGTACCCAAGCTCTCTGCAAGTCCACTCATAACATCTGACAAAGTAGGCTGTAGCTTACAAAAGCTCATGCCTCTCTGTCCTGCCTAGTAATCAATGGACATCTGCTATGTTCTACTAGGTAAGGACTTGGTTCAGCCACCCTTATTCACATCCAGAAAAGCCTCAATTCCCACCCGTTCTTAATTCTTTGGCTATGAAGTACTCGTGGATTGGGGCATCCCAGACCACAAGGAATAGCAGCAGAGCCCTAGCTATCTTGTTACCTGACAAAGTAGTGAGCAGAGCACTAGATTTGCAGTGAGTAGAGTGCTAGAAGTTGGCACCATCCCCTCAAAGACATTGGACTCTACTGGTTTATACCAGATGAGAACCTGGCCTGGAGCACTTCTTTCCATCCCATGTCTCCCACACATTGGCAGGATGCTGAGGGAAAGCAGGCATTTGGATGAAAGCTAGGGAGTTCAGCAAAACAGCTCTCTTGCCGGCAGAGAGCAGGAAGACTTCTAAGAAGCCAGAGCTCCACAGTTACTTAAATGAATAGTTTCCATAGGCCTGACCTCTCTTTTAAAATGAACTCCAGGGCTTAAAAACTGGGAGAGAGAATCTCATTTGGCAGAGGCTCTTTTATTATGGCACCAATGGGTCCCAAGCTAAGGACTTCCCAAGCTAAGTTGGATCCATGAACTCTACTTCTTCCTCATGATCATCCCAAGCAGCCTTGGTGGGTCCCATTCCCAAGAACAACATGTGAGAATCAATAGCCACCTGATTGCTTGAACCTTGGAGTTTCCTATGATGTCAAGAATTCACTCAGATATTAACTGCACAAGAAATGGATAACAGGAACAGTTCACGAGGGCTTTGAGGGGAAAGGGACTTGATGGGTGGAGGCCATGAGAGAGGCTACTATCCCTGAAGAGAAAGCCTTCCCACAGATCGTTCCACGCACCCTCGGGTTTCTTACCTTCAGTTCTGTTTTTCCCCTGAGTACTATCTCATAGCCTTCATTTAGAGTCTGAAGTGTTTCCACTGTGGTTCGGTTGACATGGATTCTGTAAGCTGCGAGTGGAAAGCAAGGTTTGAGCGTTATTGTAACCATGGCGGTGCAGGGAATATGGAAGAAGCAAGGGTTTTTTTTTTACAATGAGTCTAATTAATGGAAAGCAAAGCAGTTGTGTTGTTTTATGCCACAAAATGTGACTTATCCACTATTTCAGCTGGCAAAAATATACTGGGAATTACCCCCACAATTGCAGGTGCTTGGTTTTGTGATGTTTAACTGGGGAGAATACGGTACCTCTTGCTGTGTTACTATGCCTTCTGAAAAATGGGGGTTTGGATAAATAGGAGGTGAATGGAGGCTGCACATGGTCTTGGGGACCAAGCTTTCTGGCCCAGCTAGTTATGGATTTCAACCAAAGCTGCACAAAGTTGCTTGCATTTAAAGGAGAAGAAAAAAAAAGGGGGGGGAATGAGTTTATCTTGTGACGTTCCTCCTTCCCCAGCCTGTATTTTGACCATCTCAAGAGAAGCTGATTGAAATCTATTGACTTGCCATTGGAAAATGCAAGGAGAATATTTCTAAAACATTTTCACCAACTTTCTTTCTTATTTTGTGATCAGCTCTTTTTTCAAAGGTAAGGCTCTCACATTCTTCTTCGCTTCCAGGGGTCTGGTACTTATGCCAGTTAATGCTAATGGAAAGGCCAAAGATCTCATGTTTGGAAAGTGAGACTTCTGTGTACAGAGAAGCCTGTGAGTTCAAGCTATAGCAGTAGATATTATGAGCAATCCTTCTCATCCCTTCTCATCGTCGTGAGAAGGGATACGCTAGTATTTGGAGCAACCCTGAACTGCATCTTGCTGGGAACTGGGCTAGCCAATATTCTCAATCTCAGAACAAGTTCAAATTGCCGTTCTTCTGTTTAAAAAAATCCGGTCAACAGAATTGCCTCTCTTCCAAACACCCCCAAATATGTAATGTGCCCCCACAATTACACTGGTTGCAATCATAGTCCAGACAGTGTTCACTCCATATTAAATGATAAATTTAATCTTCAGTGGCTTGCAAGGTGTCAGGGCTACCAGGGGAAGCCTTATACCACTGGACAAAGGAAATTCCCTAAGGGACATACACTTACTGTAAACTCTCAAGGATTCAGATCTAAAGGCCACAACATGATGTTTACATCCATCAAAAAGGCATTCCAGTTAATATTGTAGAGGTGTTCAATGTCCTAGTTATTTTTCTCTTTCTCAGAAGCAAATATACGTGAGGAGAGATTTGCAAAGGCATAAAGAGAGCTAAAATGTGCCTGCCATTTTGCATCTGAAAATCTTGCTCTTTGGATGGAAGGTCTGAACCGGCTTCCACCAAAACGATGAACAAAACACCCATTGATGTCAGTGGTACAGGAGTGAACCCTAAGAACGCCTAGTTTGCAAGTGAAGGAGTATGAAAAACAGAAACAATAACTATGAGGAGGAGAAAAAAGCACTCTCAAATATTCTTTACATATTTGCTTCCTTAACAACTCATGACGGGTTGGTAGGGATAAGGATTTTATTAGGATGGCTATACTCAGAAGGAAAAGAATCAATAAAATCTTCACCCCGCATCACATTCTCGTGTCATCTCTCCCTTTCTCTTTCTCTTTCTCTTTCTCTTTCTCTTTCTCTTTCTCTTTCTCTTTCTCTTTCTCTCTCTTTGATGTTTTCATGGCCATGGATGCCTTTTAGGTATAGCACTTGCAGCATCTTATAATTTGCCATTTTTGTCGCCTATATCTTTGCGGTAGTGTGTCTTATAAAAGAGCAGTAGATTAAGAGACCTGCTTGTCATACTGAAAGCCCAGCATTTTTCTGTCCAACAGAAGGTTATGATTGTTACCCTCCAGAGGAAGGAAAATGGGGCAATATGTCCAGCAAATCATTCACTTTAGTTAATGCGATGCAGGTCAGGGGATGCAGAGTATGGTTCGGTGCTACTCTCTCTCCAGAACTCAGTGGATGGGTTTCTACTTCACCTAAACTCCTGGCAGCTGGCACTGAGTGCTATTGCTGTTGGCATCTTCAGAACGAGTGCTGCGACTGAGCTGCCGTCCAAGCTAAAGGCCATTTGCCGGGAGGCGCGCACATTCCCGGTCTCAGCTGTCCCTGTGTGAGGACACCCTTGGAGACTTCACACCTGCAGCTTTCACCAGCCCTGACTTTGCTTAAATGTTTAAAGCAAAAAAAGGAGCGATTCGGTGCTAATCGTTCATCGACGCACGTTGCCGCGAACACTTACGCAGCCCGGTGGATTCCATTCGCGAAGCGGTGTTCACCGTGTCCCCAAACAGACAGTAGCGAGGCATTGTCAGGCCCACCACACCTGCTACGCAAGGCCCTGCAAGCAAACATCCCAGCAATGCATCAGTAAGAAAGAGGGAGTCCATAGGAGACCAGTGAGACTGGCATGAATGATGATGGGTTTGAGTCTTACCTCTGCTGTGAAAGCCACAGTCTCATACAAGGAAACAGATAGTTTTAAGAGCTGATCACCCTTTGCATTAGCTGTCCATCCAGAAGGACAAAGAACTATCCTGGATAGTAATCGAGCTTTATTGGGCCCAGTAGACAACGCTTTTTGGGACCGGGACATGCCACTGGTCTGATACAGCTCATTTAGGGTGTATTCCAACTCTGTTTAGGCAGCCTACAAAATCTCCTTGACTTACTCATATCCCATTATAATATATTAGTTATAACCCCCATTACTATATAGAGGAACTGAGACTTAGAGCTGGAATTTGCCCAAGGTCACCACAAGGTAGCATGAAAGTCAGGAGCAGAACTGAAGTGATCTTGGCAATGCATCAGACCACCCCGCATCCCTCCCTAGAAAAGGAGACATGATTCTTGTCTGTCTGGCAACCCAATGTTTACTTTTCCTATATCTCATGCCTTATTCAAGATCCACTCCTTTCTAAAGTAGCTCTCCAAGAAGTCATGCTGCGTGCCAGATTCTCAGCAAGACAATACGCCTGCAAGATTTTCTCTGTCTCGTGCGTGCACACACACACACACACACACACACACACACAAACACATGCACACCCAGTTTTAAAACGCAGTTGTCCAGACAGGATGCACACATCTTATGTCAGGGTCTCAGCCTGGATTATGCTCCAAAGAGGTAAGATGAGTATGTACATGCAGGCACCTGCATTTAAAAATTGGGTTTACAAAACGAATGCCTGCAACAATCCTGTGCCTGAAGAAGGGCGCCTGTGCCTGAAAGCTTGCAAATAAAGACCTTTTTTTGCCAAACATCTAGTTGCTCTAATAAAAGAGATCACCTCTGCCATGAGTTCTGATTCCTTGTGTCTCTAAGCCAATACGGCTACAACCTGGATACCTGACAACAATCCCAGTTAGGTGAGGGGATGCACCATTTATCTGAGAGAAGGATAGACTTCTCTCAGACAAGATTCTTTGTATTAATCTGATCTCTTTTATTAGACTCAAATTCTTCCTTGCAAGCTTTTGGGTACAAATGCCCTTCATCAGGCTGAGAAAGCATCTGCCGTTGGTGTGTGCTCTTCCTGGATGGAATAGACTTCTCTGTATTTTTATTCACGTACACTTATATCAGCTGTGTGTTAAGGGGTACACGTGTGTTTGTGGCTGAGTGTTACTAAACAACATTATAAGTGTATGTAGCCCTTCCACTTTGTGGTTATTCTGGATATAGATTTAGTTTATCCTATCTGAGTCCCTGTCCACAGCAGCTTAAAACATATAGGCATGAGTAGTGATAATACATCATGGTCATGTATCATATAGGTAAGCTAAGACATTGTGGTACACATGGGAAGTTACGGCAATTCGAAAAGCACAGAAACAAGTCTGTTCGAGATTAAAATCCTTCTTTTTGTGGGGGGGAAAGTTCATGTCTAGGGAAGCTAAATGTTAACACAATAGCCAGCCAGGGAAGATATCAAGGAAAAGTACAAGCTGTTCAAGACACGTGTCGTAATGAACTGGCAGCAATATATTATCAGTCGATTCCTAGCTGTACTAAAGTAAGATACAGGGGCTTCTGTTTGAACTGGGACCCCACTGTGTTCTGCACTGTGTGAACACAGCATAAAAAGACAGTCTGTACCGTGAATCTAAGTCTCAGGCCAGAAAAAATATTCAGCCCTTCACTTAATTGAATTTGCTAGTTAACACCACTTGCATGCGTGTGTTCTGCCTTGTCAAGATGGGCTGAACAAGACCTCATTCATTTGGAGATTGCGTTCCCGCAGTAACAAGTTTAAGGGGAAACCAGAACGGCTGTGATGAGAGCTTTGGGCCCCTGGCCTCATTATGACGGGTTCCTCCCTTTTGGGTTTGTTTTAACATGGCTCGTTGCTGGTGGTACTGGGTTCGTTAATGAGCCATGTTGGCTAAGCCTCTGCAACAGCCATCAGTAATACTGCAGAGGTTCATAAACTGAGCAAAGTACAAGGCTGTCTGCCAGAGATTCAGGCCCTGAGAAACAGGGCCCTCTAAGCTTGCTTGGAAAAGCTCATCCTCTCCCCACCGCCCTCTCCTGCTGTTCAGCTCCAGCCTGGACGTTGCCAGTGTTTGAACGCCTCAGCTGCTTTTGTTGGAGAGAGAGTCCCGTCACAAGATTCTTGGCTCATAAAGTCTCTTCAAGACTTCACTGTAGACCAAACACTGGCCTTCCCTCCTTCACCAAGCCAGATGTGCAGGCAGGGGTGACTGGTGCCTCTTGAGTCTGGGGGGGCACAACTTGTGGGCAGGCCTGGGGATGGGCCAAAACCCCATATCCACTCCTATACTTCTGTGCCGTGGCTTGATGCCCCCACCCCAACACGCCGCCGGCCCACGCGTCAAAAAAAATGCCCCATCCTGAGTGGTGCCAAGTCTGGGGCCAATCTCAGGGGGGCATGTGCTCTCCCAACCAGTCGCTTATGTGTGCAGGAGGGAAATGTAATAGAATCATCGCATCCTAGAAAGAAGGACTGGACGGGACCTATAAGATCATCAAGTCCAGTCCCCTGCCATAGGCAGGAGCTAATTGGTTTCAAATGAGTTCAACCAGGTATTTAATGGCTAGTAGAACTTCCCTATGTCACTCTCCCTATGTTGGGTAGGATTGCCAACCCTCCCGGATTGGCCAGGAGTCTACCGAAATCGGCATCGATCTCCCGGTTTGATATTGTGAACAGGTTGAACAGTACAATTCATAGATTTCATAGATTTCATAGACATTAGGGCTGGAAGGGACCTCGGAAGATCATCGAGTCCAGCCCCCTGCCCAAAGGGCAGGAAGTCAGCTGGGGTCATAGGATCCCAGCAAGATAAGCATCCAGTTTCATCTTGAAGGTGTTCAATGAAGGCGCTTGAACCACCTCCGGTGGCAGGCTGTTCCAGACCTTGGGGGCTCGGACAGTAAAGAAGTTCTTCCTTATGTCCAGCCTGAAATGATCTTGAAGTAGTTTGTGACCATTCGACCTCGTCATCCCTTGGGGCGCTCTGGTGAACAAACGTTCCCCCAGATGCTGGTGGTCACCCCTGATAAACTTGTAGGTGGCCATCAGATCACCCCTGAGCCTGCGCTTTTCCAGGCTAAAGAGCCCCAGGGCTCTCAGCCTGTCATCGTAGGGTCTGCTTCCCTGACCTCTGATCATGCGCGTGGCTCTTCTCTGGACTCTCTCAAGCTTCTCCACATCCTTTTTGAATTGTGGAGCCCAAAACTGGACACAGTACTCCAGCTGCGGCCTCACTAAGGCCGAGTACAGGGGGAGAATGACGTCCCGGGATTTGCTTGAGAAGCATCTATGGATGAAAGC